TTTGGTGAGTTATATTTTCTTTTCACCAAATAGTTAAAGCAGTTCAAAGTAACCCCCTATAAATAGCAGACTGTGGGGATCCAAAGCTTCTATGTCTATGTTCAACCCTGGAAGAATTCCAGTTAAAGACAAATTTGGTCCATTCAATGTAACTGTTAAAGTAACCCCCAGACCCTTGGCCTAGTTCCACGGACCTGTGCTGATGGTAGCAGATGAAAATCTGGCATTGTTTTTCCTCACTTTTGGCCAAATTCTGTTCTACCAGTTCAAAGCCTTTACAGCAAACACAGATAAATAGAGGCACAATATCTTGAGGCTAATGCCTTTCCTCTAAACCCTTCCTTTAATTCTGTTCTTCCTTTGCTCCCTGTTTTGTTCTAAGGGCCTCCCAATACCTGAAAATTTACCAAAATACCTGTTTTAGAATTGGGAGGTGGGGGTTGGCAGAAGCCTCTATCTGGACAACACCATTTCAAATTATTTCCAGATGGGTTTTACCAGAAAAAAAAAATTCTCAAGTACACTTATTTTGGTAAATTTCCAGATGCAGACCAGCCTTGACTGTAAGATTGGCGCATGGCTTACGTTGTTGCTTAATTTCCTTTACACAATAACACCATACCTTGTAATATATAGCTGTGCCTTTATTATTAATTACTAGTAGTATAAGGCTGTGCCTGATAACTAGGCATTCACCTGAACTAATCTCAAAGCAGTTTGTTCTGCTTTGCTGCAATTTAGGTCCTGCCAATAAAATCAAAGTGGGTTAATCTTGCTGTCTGCAGTCTGCTTGGTATGTTCTGAAACTGCCAGTCAAAAGTAGTTTTTCAGGGTAAGCTGTAATATAGTTCTCACAGTGTGAACATAAATACATTTTGATTCAGCCAGTTTTCTCTTGATGAACTACCTGGGGCAGAATTAATTCTGATTCTGACCCACTGAAAGGTTAAAGGAATTATTCGGAACCAGGGTGCTATGGCCAAATTAGCATGGTTAGGTGTGCAAGCACCTACACAATTCACAAAATAAATCCAGAGATTTGAATAGGATCTCACAATGTCAAAACCATTCTGACCTGTCGTGGTCTTTCTGTGTCCTTTGCAACAGAATTGCCCTATTATTCTTCCACAGTCAAAAACATTAATGAAAGCTAGGTGCTGGCATTTTCTGAGGGGTGTTTTAAATCTAAAAATGTTGAGAACCACTGGCTTAGAGTGAATTTGAGAACTTGCTTTAGTTTAAGCAGTGGAAGAGGTCAGTAGGAGCAGTGAAAAAACTGTCAGCTGTAGGATTTCACCAAATCTGTTGGAGATGTATCTGTATCTCTGCCTCTGTTGTCTTATAATATCCAGAAAAAAATTGCATCATAAGAACATAATTAAGATTGCCAAATCAAGCACTCCCAAAAAATTAGGAACGTCCATAATTAATGCTGCATATGCAACTTTAATTTGCACTCCCTTTGCGCATTATGCTGCAGTTCTTCATTACAGGATTATGTGCTATTTTTTTCCCATAGGACTCCGTCCTCATTCAGTGCACAGAATAGCCCTGACACAGGGATGATTTGTAATGGTGTAATAAAGGAGGTTGTTTTTGTAGATGTGGGCACTAAATGAAGCAGGGTTGATGTGGGGGGAAAAATGATACATGCTCTAAATCCTCATCCACAAATCCTACGAAGGAATATGCAAAAAGGTATGTAGGCCTTCATTCTGTGAGTTATTCTATTTAGCTAAATCCCAATGGCTCTCAGTAGGCCATTGATTTAACTGGAGTTTTGGGTGTGCAGGTTTGTCCATATGGATTAATTAGCAGGATCTGGGCCACACATTGCATCCACAGCAAAGCCAAATATTTGAAAAATAATTTCTCTTTAACTGCCCTTCCAGTTTTGGATTCTGGATTTGCCCTTCAAAAGTTTTTTGAAAAATAGTTATGTCACCAAGAGTATCTTTCTGCCCTTCCTGTACTGATTTAAGTGCTGTTATCAACTCTTATCATAACAAAGGCATTCCATTTAAATTTCAGGGACCTTTAAATATGTTGTTTTAAAACATGTTTACAGTTGCAAGAATCTGCATGTAAATTCTGGCACTCAGCCGCTTTTGAAAATCTGATCCTAATGTCAGGTGCTGATCATATTTTGAAATCCTTAGGTATCCCATACAAACACACACATACTGGTACATGATGCATCAAAGCAGCCAGCTCCACAGAGTAAAGGTCATATTCTCACCTCTGTACAACTGGAGAAAAAGTTAAAATGAGTCTACAAAACTGAAAGAAGGAGCTGTGATCATAATGTAGCATAATTTATGCTAGATTATACAAGACAGCTTTTCCATGAATCACCCAGGCTCCTTTTATGAGATGTTAAGGTTGGTTTAACAGCCATTTGGGGTATTTATTGAAACAATACTGTCTCTATTCCTGCTTTTCCAAATTTTCTTTGGAGTTTAAGCATATGTCTCCCCTGATAAATGAGCTGTCCACATCAAGAAGTACTACACCGCACAGTGCTGCAGCTGTTTTGCTACAAGCATTAATTAGCAAATGCAAGGCAGGCATCACTGGTTTGTCCAAATTCTGTGAATTGTTTGTGATTTCAAATGACAAGGGATGCATTTTCTAAATAGAATGATTTTTTTTCCTTATCCTGGCTAAAAATGGCAAAATGGGAAAGGAGGAAAACCAAACAAGTGATTGCTCTGCTTCTAAAATAAATGCCTTCCCAGTCAGCTTGTGATTGAAACTTGGATTTGCAGCACATGAACATTTGGACTTGAATGAAAGCAGATGGAGCTGTTGTTTCCCAAACTTAGTGTTAGAACTTAGGTGGTGGCTCTGAAGTAATGAAAATGGCTTGGGCAAGAATAGTACATTCTCTGAAGAGAGCGTTTATTGAGTACAGTAATTTACAGTTTTAAGCGTAAGACAAAGGCACAACAGAAAACTTTGCCTATATTCAGAAATAAGAGGAACCGTGCATAAGTTTCACTTAGTCCCAAGTCAGAGTGTCTCCCTGCAGCTGGCCAGGCATTCAGGAGTCTCTTGAGTCCACAGTTCTTGGCAGGTGGGGCAAAGGTCCACAGTCTTCATTTTTGCTTGCTCTTTTATGGGTGATCTGCCCCCTTCTTTCCCCTCAGTCAACTTGACAATGGCATGTCTTTTGCCCCCTTCAGGATGTTTTCCTGGCCTGGTTTTCATCCCTTCATGATGTTTGTCTGTTCGTTCTATAGTGTCCCCATTTTCCCCAGGTTTTATCTTGTTTATGGTATGTATAGTGCTACTTACAGAGTACCTACTGCCCAATTAAGTAATTTGAAATCCAATCTGTTGTAGCCCCCTGCTTCCTCTGCTTTCATAGGTTATCTGCTTCCCACTTAAGCAGTCTGGTCTCCTTGCTTCTTTAGGTCACATAGGTTATCTATTCAACATCATTTCCTATCAGCTACAGAATTAAAGGGCCCAAAACTGTTGAGACTATGCCATGCATTTACCAACACTGTAAACATTTGCTGCAGATAGTATCAAAAATGGTCTCACAGCTCCAGGATGTCAGTGGCAGCAAATAAAATTTGGTGATTTTTCCATTGGGAAAGGAAGAGACTAAATAAACTCTGACTTAAATATTGGTGAATAGCTGAGGGTTTGTGTATAATTCTGGATTTAAAGAGTATCTTTAGAGAAATCTCTTGTCGGGAGTGTCGGAGCAGAAAATCCCAGTCTGATTCACGAGTGGTTGAATGGGGATAAATGAGCCTCATTATAATTTATTAAGTGTCAACAGAGTGTTGGGCCCTTTATAGAAGGCACAGAATTTATGGCACTTGCTCTCTGTGCCTTTGCATTGTGGCCGCTAAACACACTAGCCTCCTACTCCCGTGTTTCATTTATGTCTTTAATCATCAGAGTCTCAACTACATGGAGAAAATTTGTTTAGAACCGTGACCCAAGGAAGGGTACTTTTTGCTTGGAACCTTGTCTAACATCCTGCCCAACTATATCATTTGTCCAATAACAGATACCACCAAAAAATCCTTGCCTTTACAACTATGACTATTATATGAAAACTTCTCATCCCACATTCTTGCTTACCATAAAACATTCCAAAGTCGGATAAATGAGGGAGGGGGAAAGTGAGGAAGACAGAGGTGTGGCAACAGTTTGAGGTCTGAAACAGAGAAATATAATTTAAAGAATTCAGTTGAACATATGGTCAAACATTGTTTTTTAATATGCCCAGGTTTTCCAGAACTTTTAGGAAAATATTGTCCAGGTAAAGGTCTATTTTTTGAAGTAAAAAGAGCAAGGTTCTTCAAGCTTGTAAATACTGTAGCAGCCACTTTGTTACTCTCTTACCATGGAATGTATTACAGGCCATCATACCTAAATAGGCCCTAGAGTCTAGACTTATTCATAATGTTTGGGAGTGAAAGAACCAACCATAGGCTTCCAAGATCAGGCCACTGGGGCAGTAACAGCAGGGACTGCTCTGCCTTATACCCAACTGCAGAGGCCACCAGGATCATGGAGATGCATGACCCTTACACCAGGGGGGTCAGGAAAGGTGGCAGCAAAGTCTCTGCCATCTGAGGAACCCCCCCTATATAACAGGGCAGAGAATCTGCTCCCACCTGTTTTGCATGTGAGGTAAATGTCATTTCATTCTGATTTTTGAGTACCTATGGGTTATGAATAAAACGGAATTTGTTTCTTTATTGCATTACAAGCATAGACCATTAAGCTCAGTGGTGTTTGACATTTCCAAATGGCTACTAATCTTGAGTGCATTTAGATAGATGATTGTTCAGTTACAGAATTAGGAATCACTTTGTATCAGTCTTCTGTGAGGTTGAACACACTATGTTATAAAACTACTAACTGCTAAGATTCATTTACGCAGTTGAGGAATTGAAACACCACATGTTCATCATTGCATGTTCTCAATGTGAGGAAAGTCTAATTTAAAACATCTGTTCTCTCTTCTCTTACAGAATACCACGTCTTGTCCACCTTCAAAAGGAACCCCCTAGAACAGGTTTACAGAACACCCTGTGCTCAACTCACCTCAAACTACCTGATTAACCGGTACTGGATAGCAGTCAGCCATAAGGCTCCAGCCTTGATCTATGATCTGTACTTGAGACTAACCGGAAGAAAACCCAGGTGAGAAGATTCACTGCTCCAAGCATTATTACATCTTAAAGAGATCATGAAACTCTAAGCTCTTGCAACTGCTGTTGGGCTGCTTTTCTCAGAATATGTTAAAGATCTTAGTTATCTTCCCTTGTCTAGTACAGTACTTGAGGTGGCTACTCAGAAAGAACTGTACCCTCCACTCCTTTGCATCTACTCAGCCCCATATAGGGTTCCTGCTCCCTGGTATTCATGGATTTTTATAGTCAGCTTCTCAGTCATTCTCACTATTTGTGACCACCCTAAACTGCCAGGAGGAGGAAATTGGCTTATGCATGACTTTCCTTCCATTCCAGCTGTGAGAGTTCCCAAAGGAAAACCAGGTCAACCACTAAATGATACATCTGGGTAGACCATCTTTTACTTTCATTGCTTATGTTTAGGGCCAGTTTTATTGTCCTATACGTTGCAGCTTGCTCGCCCTATCCTAGCACTCATAAAACTGTATCATTGCACAAGGACCCAAGGCTTTGTGCTTTTCAGTAGCTACAATAAATTATTTGTCTTGTGGGTTCAGCTGGTCCAGGTAGCTGAAAGAAGGAATGGTGCTATGAGCTTCTGAGTGTGAATAAGCTTTACGTGGCATTTAAAAGGAAAGTTTACATGGATAGTTATCTGAGCCTTGACATTGTTGTGACTAAAGAAATGAGGGCATCTGTCACCCAGGAGAATCCTACTGTAAATAATATAACTCAGCCTCTTTCCTGCTTGTTGCTGGTTTAGCAATCACAAAAGGAAATGGAATTATTAAAATGTGCTAATTACCGTGGTCTATGACAGCCATTTTGTGCCACATCAACAGCTAAAAGCAGCTGTAAAGCTGGCTTTGTTGACCTTCTGTACAGAATTTCCAGGATGGTGTACACGTCCCCTTCTAGTCTCCTCCCCTTCTCCAACACCACTGCCCCCATCTCCTAGGACAAAGAACATGGGTATGGGGCATAGGCAATTATCCCCAGATGCAAAGCAGCCCCTAACAAGTGTAAAAAAAAAAAAAAAAAAAAAAACCAACTAGGCCTAGGTTATGGGAATCCAGAAGGCCTCTAGATAAGCAGTGAGCAACCTTTTAAGGCTACTGCATGCCCAGACTTACCCAGTTTGTATCAGAGGCAGGGGGGGGGATGTGCAGCCACTGCTACTACTTTTCCTAGCAGCGGCGTAAGGAAAGGGCCCACAGCCAGTGCTTTTCCTGTAGTGGCATGGGAAGAGCAACTGTAGTTGGAGCCCCTTACTACTAAATGCTGTCAATGCCCCATGTCCATGGACCAGAAAATGGATGCAGCCCATGGGTTATAGATTCCCAGCCCCTGCCCTAAACTCCACTGAAATACAAAAAAGCATGGTATGTGCTCAGTCTTATTATTGCTGCTGTTACATCCCTCTCCAGAAAAAATATTATCATTGGCATCAGACACAAATTTTAATTTCAAATGCAATTCAGAATTCTCTCCTGCTGAGAAGTCTCCCACCTTCTGGACCTGTATATCTCTGAGCTAAGCAAAAAGGGCTCAATGCTGTGTTTAAGGTTTTAGCAAATTGTTGTTTCTCTCTTTTTATAATTCCCTTTCTACTTATAAGGCTGTAAAATACTTATTCAGGTATGTTAGTAATATAGTAGACACCAAGCAGGTTCACATCTCGTTTTGCTCTCCTGCTACCTGAAAAACAGGTCTTCAAGGTTCATATCCCTGAGAGACGGTACATTCTGAACAGCATAGTTATTAAAGATAAGGTGAATCTGCCACAGCTGTCAGACTGCGAGGAATGACTTAGCAGTCTCTGGTTAAGTCCCTGTGGACAGGTGTTCACAAAACAAAATCCAGAATCAGAGTTGGTGCCCTTTTCGACACCTTCAGCAGATGTCAAAGACTAAAGAATTGTGTGGACTAACCAGTTCTTCATGTTCTAGATGTAAAGTTGAGATGGTAAAAATGTTCTGAGGATGCCCTTGCTACTGCTCTCAAGATCTCTGTAGTGCTTAATTGTCAGTGAGGGGCATCTCCAGTGTGTCCTCACTTCCCCAGTTGTGGGTTTGGAGTGTCTAAGTTCATAGACATGCCTAATAGGTGGACTAGAATCTGAGTCTCTCTGTTTTGCTTGGTGGCAGCCACAATGCATGAATAGAGAAAGCCAAGTGGACCCAGCTCTCAGCCTTTTGTATTAGTTTTCACAAATGGTATAGCCACTCTTTGGCCAATTCAGCATACTTCTCTTGAAAGGCAGTTCTGCTTTTCAGCTTATTAATATATCCCTTTATTTTCCCCGTAATCCCCTTGAGGTAAAGAGGGGGGGACATAGATGCTCCTGAATCTGACTGAGCACCTATTTGTTGATTACAGCAGCCTTGAAAACATTTGTCTCCCAAAGTCCATCTGTCTAATCAACTACTTGTAAAGTGTTTCTGTCCTCACCGGTAGCCTAATAAGAGGAGGGCAAGCAGGGCACCAGCCCCAGGTGCTGAATTAGAGGAGAAGCCATTGTGGCACTTCACACCTAATAGTCCATGCCATGGTAGCAGGAGAGGCAACAACCATAAGTGGGCACTTTCCTGCAGTAGTAGCAGCCAGGGACTATGTCCCCAGGGCAAATAAGACTGACCCCCCGCCCATCCCACACATACACACTCTCTCTCTGGTGTTCAGCACAACCACCATCACCACATGACTCTTTGGCAGGGCTTTGCCCAGGGCACAAAACTTGCTGGTTTTGCCTCAGATTCTCGTGGTGACGAACACATGGTGATGTCCCTGCAAGGTGGAAAACTGCTGTTGTCTCCCTATTGTACATAGAGGAGGCAGAAAGACGAAATGATAAATGGAACCCAGAGCAGAGCCCTGAACTTGGGTTTCCGAAGTCCTAAGCCAACACTGCAAACACTGAACTGTCTTTCTCCCCTGCTGAGTTAGCCTTCCCTGAGAAAGGGGTTTGGGTACCTTCAGACACATAATAGTTACAGTTGCATGAAACCCCCAGTGCCCAAGCACTTGATTGACAATGTCCTAGTACCAGGCCCATCCCATCTAAGAACAGAAGCACAGATTAGAGAACTGAAACTGTTCAAAAGTACTACCACATGTTATAAGGAGAGGAGCTACCTTCAAGGGGCTGTCTGCATTGTCCCTGTGACACACCATGGAGTGCTATCATGAACTAGTCCCTACCTATTCACTTTGGTGTGGTATGAGCCATGTTCTGGAAAGGAGGCAGTGTAATCACCTGAGCATGTACCCAGTTCCAGTCTTAGGCTCTCTGTCTTTAGTGTGTTGCTTGGTAATGCTCATAGTAGCTCCCTGAGGGGGCTGCATTGCCTTCAGTGGTCAGAGTATGCTTCACAGCAGTAAACTAGCATGCATACAGCACAGAGGCAGTGTAGATGTGCCATTAGAAAATACAGGTATAATACACGTATATGTGGCCTATTGTCCAGAGTGAAGAGGGAATAGACACAATCCTTCTCCTGAGAATGAACCTCCTTTAAGTCAACAGTGATCTATGCAAGTGCAAAGATCTATCCCTGAGGATAGAGGATCAGGGCCTCAGCTAGAATCGGTACTGGCCTGCTGAAGAGAGATGCTGCTGCTGCATGCCTGAACCCAAAGCCCATATTCATTTTGCCTGGGAAAAACAATGTAATGTGAGGAGCCAAGGAGCTGCTTGTTGCTTAGAGTCAGGTCAGCCTGCACAGAACTCCAGTTTTCAAATAAGGACAAACTCCCTGCATGTTTCTGATGTTCCCATTGTCTTTCAGGATGATGAAGATCCTTGATAGGCTGCACAAGAATCTGATGCTTCTGGAATATTTCACCACTCAGTCTTGGGAATGGTCCTCAGATAACATGAACATGTTAATGGGACAGCTCAGTCCAGAGGACAAGAAAGTAAGCATATTGTATTACTTGTATGGATAATGTGCTTGCCTTCTCAAGTTTTGTTCATGTCCAGTTTCCCAGGCTGTTCCAGCTGGTGCATGGTTAGTCTTTCAAACAGCATGTTCTCTGGATCCCCAGTATTCAAATCTGCCATGAATGAAACAGAAATAATTTGGTATTCCACCCCCAGTGTTTTTTAACTAGACTCACAAGAACCTTAGCTATAGTGTAGGAGGAGGATGTTTCCTTCACTGTTGTTTGAGAGAGGCAGATGGATTGCTAAATCCCTAAAAAATGTTTTTTTCGTTCTATAAGCATTTTGAAAAAATATTAAAGGAATTCTCGGGTTGTCTGTATTCCCAGGCCAAAAGACATGTTTCCAGAGAGTGCAAACTAGAATAAATTATAGGTCCCTTGAGATTTCTGTCTTTGGTGGTCTACTCTTTCATGCAGCAGCAGCTTAGAATAGTCTCACTGAATCCCTTCCACATTGGAAAGGTGATCACATGGACAAATGCTCTAGAAAAACAAGGATGCCAGAAGCACAGTGCTAATGGTAATGAGAAAAACTGTAAGATCCATTTTCAAAGTACTTTCGCTGTCCACAGCCAACCAGGTTCTGCTTCAGTGTTCCCTTGTACAGTAGCTCTTCTGTGCCTTATTTTCTCAGTCATGTTGAGGTAATGTTGTTGCCATGATGGTCCAGGAAATATGTGGGAGGCAAGAATTCTTGTGGGTGCTGTCTTTTATTGGACCAACCATTTATTTCCACTTGAAGCATAATCCTGGTATCATGACCAAACAGTCTTAGTCTTGTTACTTATAACATTCCCACAGATACTCCCACTGTAGGAGTTAGAGTATTCTTAAGCCAAGCACTCTCTACAGAGGGGCAGCAAATTGCAGTTGCAGCTAACGATGCTGACAGCTAACAGTAGATACTCAAGTCAGCTGTAACCTCGCTAACTTCCACACTGCTAGCAATGTATAGAATTAGTGCAGACTAATGACTCTCTGGGTATGTTTTGCACTGAGCTTTATGCCACTATGGAACTCAAGCTAGATAGTTTAGAGCAAGCTCAGGCAGGTCTATGTGAGCTGCAGTCACTTTAGTCATTGCAGGATAGATGCGTGATGATAAACTTCCCATTTTCCATGGCTATATACACCATTCTCTTCTGGCTCACTGCTGGCCTAATGCCATAGTTCTTGAATTGATCCAAAAGCAGGTAGTAAGATGCGTGGGTGAAGTCTTTTTTCTTTTTTTTTTTTTTCCACACTGCCCTTTAAAATAGTGGAAGCAGTTTGTTGATCCTGTTGTCTGTGCATTAAAAACCTGAGCAGAATGAACAGTCACCTCCCTCTGTTGTTCACTCATTACATTGTTTCTTTACTGTGCTAGGCCTTCAATCCTTTGAGAGCATTGCTGATACCTTTCCCATTTGAAATTTTGATGCATGAAACTAAACAGAGCCATTAGTACTGAAATGAGACAAATCAATGCCAAGCAACTAAGTAAACTGTTTCTTGGATTTTTCTTGCTGCAGACACCAAAGATAATGTAACTCTCCTCAGCTTAGTTATTTATGCAGAAGGACCTGTTGATTCTGATCCCGGTCCATTTATTTCCACTTGAAGCATAATCCTGGTATGACACCAGAGAACTCAAGGGACATTTTTGGATGAACCATCAACACACTGTCTCTTGTAACATGATTGCACTTTTCTTTAGTGACACTGAGCATCCAAATGGCCACTCACAAGGACGTAAGCAGGAAATAGAGATCAGATTAATAGAATAACATATCTCTCTTTGTCCTTGTCCAAATACCTATCTGTTTAAAATGAGTAAAATGCTATTTGAAGTAGAGGCCAGTAAGTAATAAACACTTATATGGAAAAGTTCAAGTAAGATTTTTTCAGTGCATGTTACTTCCTTTGAATCTTGTGGCTTTGAAAACATGAGATACTAGCTTTGTTCAGAGAAGAGTTCAAAGCAGAATCAGCATCTCAAGTTGTACAGCCTGTTCTTTTTCTGAAAAATCTAGCCGTGGTATTTAATTATTTCTTTTTCTCTTTAATTTTAGCTGTACAACTTTGATATTCGCCAGCTGCATTGGTCAGAATACATTGAAAACTACTGCCTGGGTGCTAAGAAATATTTACTGAATGAAGACATGTCTGGGATTCCTGCAGCAAAACAGCACTTAAGAAAGTAAGTCATAGCCAGTGAAAAATGAACAGCTGCTCTCTGTCGATTCATTTGGATGTATATAGGAGCTTGCAAGGCAAAGCATTGCAGTTTAAGTCCAAGGCTCCAAGTAAAGATGTATACCCAACTCATCTTTTCCAGACCACTTTCATACACAGGCAGAAAAGGAAACATGAAAGAGAGATGGAGGCATTTTCACTGAAAGTTGGTAAAGTACCTTTCGGGGAATTGTGCTTTGCACTCTGAAAAATGCTAGAGATGTAAACCAGGCTGTTGTCATCACTGGGATGTCACACACTTTCTTAGTTTCTGGAGTAATTTTTTTAAATGTATAATTTCAATTCCTAGGCGCTTCTATAATTCATGCAAGAGTGTATAAGCTGCATAAAGGCTTAATGGATAGCACAATCTCCATCACTATCCTTACATTCCAAATTATAGAAACAAACCATGTGCACACCCAAATCTAGTCAGGTTTGGTCATGGGTTATTTTGCACTCATCCCACTCCTCTCCATACTCAGACACTGGCAGATAAGGTGTGTGTAGGACTAGAGTATCTGTATCCAAAGAGAAGGAGATAGTATGTAATTGGTACCCTGATGGCAAGTTAGCCTACACCATCTCACGGTCTAGTTTAATGCCTTTTACATATGAAATGAACACCGACTATAAAAAGAAAGAACCCTGCAGAGCCCTGAAAGTGAGGGTACCACTGAGGCTGATGAGCAGGTGCCCAACATGTTTTGTCAGTTTTCTCAAGGAAGGAGGAGCAAGCCCACTACCAAGCCAATTTATCAACTCATACACATGCTCACAGGCCAGTCACCAAAGCTCATGGTTAATGGTATCAAGCCCTGTCAACACATCCAATTAAATCATGGGCAATAAGCCATATCTTAGGTGATAACTTAGAAATCAATTACCAGCATCTATTCAGTATCTTTTCTTGATCTGAAATCAGAATGTATGGAAATACACAAAGACCTGGTGCCCACACATGTGGGTCAGTCGCTCACATTCCTCTCTCCATGTCATTTATAACTTCAGTGCAGGGTTGTTCCAGAGGAAGGGGGGAACAAAAGATAGACATGTATTTAGGCATGACCAGTCTCACTGATGTAGAGAAATTGTTTTACATAACATTTCTTTCAAAGAGTTCTGCAGTTCAGAAAAGCCTATTTAACTTGGATCCAAAGCAGTTGAGCCTGCACTGAGATAATTTGTTGGTTAATTGTGGTTCTTAAGCGTGCTTCTCTTTGGTTTGCCAGGCTAAGGAACATCCGGTATGTGTTCAACACCACCCTCCTCGTGATCATCTGGCGGATTTTCATTGCGAGGTCGCAGATGGCTCGGAACATCTGGTACTTTGTGGTGAGCCTCTGCTACAAGTTCCTTTCCTACTTCAGGGCATCCAGCACCCTCAGGCATTGAAATGGTCAGTCAACAGCCAGCCTCTTTCAGAAGAACCTTCATCTCCTCTAAACAGCAACTGTGGGCATCTGGGCTTGAAAGTAGCAGGGAATTCATCAATACCAACAGCAGCCTGCAGTTAATATGCACCATTGTTCTCTCACCATTATCTTTTTACTAGTGCTTTAACATGTAATGGTCTTTCCTCCATAGGATCAGGCTAATTTTAAAGCCATAACTGAAGCTTTATGCACAGGTCATTCTGGGATCTGTCCAATTCTGATGTGCAAGAGTACGGATTAACCAAAGTCGCTGTCTTCCCATCCGTAGCCTAGAGCTAAGTCTCTCTCACCCTCACCTCCCTTCTTAATATATCTATGTTTAAAGGCAAACACTTTTGGGAAGTTCTATGGTAAGACAAAGAACTCTCAAAGAAATCAGTCATACAGAGGATTTCTTTATAAGGTATTCACCAATTCTCAGTGAACAAGGCCAAATGGGCCCCATACCTTATTGGAAAATGTGATTCTACATTTTCAATCACCAAAAACAAAGGAAAATAAGGGAAAACAAGTGTCATGGCTAAGTGGTGAAGGTGGTTTTGATTTCCATCTTGTTGCTGTGAAGGACTGATACTTTCAAGCCCTGATTGAAGAAATGCACAGAAAACCATGTACCCTTTTTAACTGCACTAATACATGCAAGCTACTTTCTTATGGAGCAGCCTTAGTTTCATTATAGCTGAGGTTGCAATCTAGTTTCAATGTAAAAAACAAATCAAAACAACCTGGTTTTTCACCTCTCTAACTTGGGCTTGGAAAATTTGCTTAGCCTTAAAATTGCTCTATTTACTCTGAAGACAAAAGGAGAAGACTTCTGCAAAGATTGAAGAAAAATTGTCAAGCTGTTTTTGAGGTATATTGTCATTAAAGCTTACCTTGACTTACAGCTTTGACTTTTGTGTAACATTTCTTTATCTCCCTCTAGCTCAAAAACAGCTTGTTACTACCCTTCAAGCTTTCCATACAGCTAAATCTCTCCAGCTAAATCTCCTTGAAAAATTAAACACTGGCAATGTTGATGGAAGTGGAATTAAACAGTTAATAACAGTACCTATTAATCATATCAACCTGCTTCTGCTCTCCACTGATGTCACAGTGGTGGTTACAGGCCCAAAATCCCATTTTCATTGATGACATTTGGAGTTATTTGTCATTGACTTCTGTGAAGATTGCATACCCTGTGTATGAAAATATTACAAGATTTCAGTTAGAAGGAGTCTAAGGGCTTCTTGTAGAGCCTGATATCTAAGAGCGATTCCCATTTAATGCAAGTGCCAGAGGCCAGCAGTTTTGGAACTGTGAAACCAAGATTATAGTGCGTGCTTTGCAAGTGTGAGTGGTTTATTGGGTAGAGATGCTGGCTTCTTCAGCCCTACTGATCCAATTAGGGTCCCATTAAAAGGCTGATTTTGTAGGTCCAAAACAGACAAGTTGGCATTCTATCATGTTTTTAAAGCGTTAAATGTAATTGATTTAACAGGAATTATAACTGGAACCATATCTTTACATTTTGATTAAATTCCCTATCTACTTTTTTAAGCTTTAAAGGACTTTGCTTCCTTTCGTCTTCCAACAAAGTAGCGTTCTACCACAAAATTTGATGCAAAAGGCTGTTTTCAAGGCCAAAAACAGTAAAACATTTGAAAACTAGATCCGTTAACAACAATGAAGGCAACAAAGTTAAAACAATAATAACGGGGAATATTTGGGGCTCCAACTTCCCAGCTGGTCCAGACTTCTTTCTAAAAAGTCAAAGGAACTCATAAAGTGACTCCTGCTTCTGGACCCATTTTCTAGATCATTGGATGTTTTTACACATGTGGAGTGGGGGTGGGGGGAAAGGACATTTTAATTAGAGCGACACTGAGAGCCACTCTAATTAAAGCATCTAGAGCATCTCCTGTATCAGCGTCCCCATGCTTCACAATGGCCACAGGGGCGCTTTATCTAAGGCTTGTTGAACAACCTTTAGATGAAGTGCTCCCACCACCATTTTGAAGCGTGGGGACACTGATACATGAGACGCAGAGGCTGGCTGGAGCACAGCAAGTGCCCCTGCCACCATTTTTAAGTGCGGGGACACTGGTACATGAGACATGGTGGCACTTTAATTACAGCGGCTCTCGGAGCTGCTCTAAGTAAAGCACTGCCCCCAACCAGCCTCCGAGCACGTGTAAAGGTACCCTCAGTGACTAAGTTTAAGCAAGTTGCCACAGGATGCTTATGGTAGAGCCCAGCTCTCCGAAATGGAGCTAGACGTTTCCCATGAGGCATCTCGTTTTAAATCTGTGAACCTAGTTCGCTCTATATCTGAAGCTTTCTTATCTGTTACCCACTTCTTTTTTCAGATGGGGTAAGAAAGTCGCAGAGAGGTTAAGTACTATGCAGGGCTCTGCAGGACTCCTTCATTAGCTAGTCTCACTGCTGTTCTTTGATGAGTTGATAACCCATCTGTCCCCTGCATGTAAAACATATTATCTTCAAGTACTAACGCAAAATACAAATGAAAAGCTAAAAATAAAAAAAGAATACCAGAGCCACTGAAAACAAAAACTTAGTTTAAAAAACAAAACCTTACCAATGCTAATTAGCATCAATAAATTACAAAACCCAAGCACTTAAAGGAAGCAAATGATTAAGGAAACCATAAACTTTATGCTACCTAGATAACAGGCAAATCAGGCTCCAATCCTACAATTACATGCACAAGGACAGGCCACTGAGGTCACTGGGTCTCTGCAAGATCTGATTGAAAGATGTAGGCCTTATTGTTGGGCTCCAAGTTAGGCTTTTCGCCACACTCCATTTCTTCTGATCAGACCTTCTTATGGTCTCTCCAGGATACTTACATGGTTTGTGTCCTTCCCAGCAATGTGTCTCTGTACGTCTTGATGTTTTCCCAGCACTGAGTTGAAGGTTTTATTCAGGGTGCTGTTTTAATTTTTAAAGGTTTTAATTTTTAGAGACCCCTCAATATTTTAACAAAGGTAACAATAGCAAAACAGATCCTTGTCCTTGAATTGACCCCTCTTCATTTTTAAGCATGCTTCAAACACAGACCTTTGATCACCTTCTATGTGGCAAACCACAGCCAGCCCTGCAGTCTTCTTTTCATGCCTGAGGAACTCAGCAGCTGGCACTTGAGCTGTGCTGCCTTTCCCAAGTGAAGGGCTATATTGCTCATATCTGCTAGACCTGAGTGTACATATGGAGAGACTTGGACCTTTCATCCAAGCTTTCATGCATCTCCAGAACTCTTCTACTTACTATCTGGACCACAGAAAGGTCTTGGAGAAGCTCAGCAAATAGGACTCTGGCAGTGATGTTTTGAGAGTTGAGACTCTGTGACTTTACTCTGCTCCCTAACATTTTCTCCCAGTGAACTCAAAACCCCAGAAATAATATCTAAGAAAAATCAGCAGG